GAATATCTTTTAAGATCCCCATCATGTATCTTAATGAGCAGCATCTTCCCTGCAAATGACACACAGGTGTACAAGCAAACTGGGAAATCCTACCCAAGCTAGGCAAGCACCTGGAAGTCAGAGGTACAGTTAAAGCTTAGAAAAGATCTGAGGTTTGAGAAACAGCAAGGTGAAATTAATTCTCGAGCTGCTATGATGTTTAATAAATGTTTAATTAGTGAGCACACCGTCTCAAAAAGACTTTTCAGAGAGCCTTTGTAAGCTTCAGACAGGACATGGGTGTAGGTAGGGCAGGCAGAAAATGATCTGTGCATCTGGGAAAATCACTGGCCAGAAGAAATGGATGATATTTCTCAGTAACACCAACTGAAGAATGCAACAGAGATTTCAGTAATTTTCTGCGTTTGGTTTTTGCTGATCATTCTCCAAATGACTCCCAAAAGGGAATTATTTCATTTAATATTGAGAGAGGTATAAATGGGTGAGTGATAGAGGAACTGCTTATTTCTGCAATTACAACAGTTAGAAAAATTTAGCAGAGGAACTCACACTCTTTCAGCAGCATACTGACTCACTGAAACCTCCTTGTTTCTGAAGCACATTACAGAAATACGTGTTTCAGAAAAGCTGAAGCATTTCTATTTATCTTTGTTCTGTTCTCCAAGGCACCATTTTTGACTTTAAATAACCAAAATGATACAAATGAAACAAGTACTTTTTTTACCAAATATTCTGCAGTGACACCAGTTTTTCTACTCCCGAAGCTTTCAGTAGAACAGAGCTCCTAAATTGCACCAAGTTCTGTGTTTGTGATCGTATGCTCACCTTTCATTATTTCCTTTCAATTTCACGTTGCACTTAAAGCTCCATTCGTTTCTGATTTTAATCTCTTTTTAGTCTTTTATGATATTACTACAGATATTTCATGCTTCTCATGGGTCCTCAGAATCTGTGCAGTTAGGAGATGGTGAATAGCACAGGATGAAGAAGCAGTGGAATCTAGAATATTGTTGCACAAGGCCATGACTTCAGATTGTCAGCTCTTCCTATTTCCCTACTTAATATAGGGAAGATCTGGTGAACTGGGCCCTGGGCAGGTATGAAATGTGGAGGTTGGTGGCCCTGCATGCGGTGGGGGGTTGGAGATTCATGATCCTTGAGGTCCCTTCCAAGCCTGGCCATTCTGTGATTCTGTGTGGTTTTGTGAACTGCACTGAAGTTAGTGGTGAATGCAGTGGGTTTTTGGTCTGACCGCAGCGATGTCAAGTGGATGCAGGTGAGGAATCTTCAGAAGTCAATAAATGTCACTAAGGGCCTTTTCTTCTTATTTGTGTGTCAGTTATATAGATGGTCCCCCTGAGTGTATGGAAACAAAATCAATGGCAAACTTCAATCCACACAATCACTTCTTATGTGAGACACAGCGTTGGCTATTACCTCACAGGTCAGTCAATAACCTATTATCTCACGAGCTAAGAAATAAATACTGCCTTGAGCCAGTATTAATTAGAATGGCCAAGGAGGTACAGACCAGAAGATAGGTGATGCTGTTGTTTCTGATTGTTTGATACACAGATGGACCAGAAACAGATAGGATTTGGTTTGTTGTTTATTTTTTGCTGTATTGTTTGGTTTTTGGAGTCGGGGCCACAGGGCTTTTTTTGGCTATGATTCATCACTCTGCTTTTCAAAAGATAAAAGTTTTCAAAAGATAAAAATTAGTTACCTTCCTTGTCTCTTGAAGCAAAGAGGTCTATGATTCCTTTGCATTACAAAAGCAAGGGAAATACATCTTTCTGATAATACTGTTTTAGGGGGCAGATTCAGGAGTAGATTTTCAATAGCTATAAGGATTGTTTTCCTCTTTTAACACTAATGAAAATCACTGACAACTGAGGACTGACCTCTGTTTAAATAGGCGACCCCTTAATGCCTATCAAGTCTTGCTAGGGTCACTTCCTTCGATAACATAAAGAATTAGGAAATGGTTTGCTGAATATCCAGGATTTAAATTCCATCGAGGTCTCAAAGTCCAGTAGTCCCTGTGCTCTACAGACTTACAGCAGGTTGATAAGAAATCCTGAGCACAGTGATTCGGGTGGAATTTAGGCTGCCTGAATATGACTTTTATATTCTTCAGATGCTTTGAATGGTTGACCCTTATCCTTTGGAAAATTCGAGCTGGATTTTTTGAAGTGCATTTATTCCAGAAAATTAAATTAATTCTGAGATGAAGTATGATTTTAATTTAAAGCAGTAAGAGCTGGCCTGACATAATTGGCACTGCATTCAAGAGAGCTAAGAAACATTTTCTTTGACATATGTTTCATCCCCATACAATCATCTGTGGGGCTTGCTGCCCAAGGCAGAAAAGTCAAATCTATGACATTGTATTTATAAGGCAAAGAAAATGCACTTATTTACATTTAGACATGCAAACACACAGACATGGTGATAAGGCAGTCATGCCAACCAGTAAGAAAATGAAATTCAACTTAACATTTGTGAATTGTATGGTTTAAAACCCCTTCTGAGTATCTCTGGCATTGAATAAGTCTCCATCAGAGGTTTTTGAGCGTATCCTCCACCACTTATTGTAAAACTGATTTTAAGAATTTCACATTTCATTTCTTAATTGAGGAAATTTAGGCCATTACTGGAAGTTCTCTGTGGTCATGATTTGATTCCAATGAATAACTTAAAATTGAAACAAATAACTATACAAGTAAAATTACATTCTTGTGTGTAAGACACAGGAAGCTGCTCTGTGCTGTGTAGGTGTTTCCAGCTGCTAACTATTGCTTCTGTAGCACCACTTAGCTAAGGTAAAGGGTAGATTTTGCACAGCAACATCACTGCAAAACTTTGGCCAAGATAAGCAAGGTGAACTCCCACTCAGTAAAAAGTGTGATATGATGTACAGTAACATTTCACTTGGAAGCACTCACACAGCCAATTACACAGCACTCATATCTCTTCACCAACATGTACTTTTCAGTACTCGGGAATTTCACAGTGGATACATAAATTCAGCAACCTTTAAATTTCTTCTTCCTGTACCCATGTGGGTGTGAAAAGTCAGGATGGAAATTTCTTTTGCAATCATGTCAAGTGAGAAAAGAAAGTTGATACATATGCATACACATGCATAAACACAGTTTAGCGTTTCAATTTTCATTTCAGTAAAAAAATACTCAATGTAAATTTTGTGTTCGCTGCTTCAGAATGAAATCTGTCTCTGGAAATCATCGATCTGTGGGAAATCAGCTGCCATTTATCTCTGAAGGCTCCTCAGTGCTATTGTAGACTTCTCAGTGAACCCCATTCTCCTTTTTCTCTAGACACCTAGGCCTACTGCTCAGAACCAGTGTTACTGGTAAAGCAGGCAATGCTTTTCTTGCAGCTTTCCTTCCCACTTACCACTTCATTTCTTTTATTATCATAATTAAAAACGTTCAGGATTTCTACTGAAGGCCACAGAGTTTCCCCAGTCATTTTCTTCTGCAAACTGTCAAACTGCTGGTCTTATCCAAGGCATTAGGGGAACTGCTGTTGTTCATAACTCTGTAATTGGCTCTTCTGGTGCTGCTTGGCATCTCTTGCCTTTGTCCTTAGTGATGAAAGAAAACCCTGAGGGCCTGCAGCTCCTCTCTCAAGCGTAGGCAATACCAAGCATGGACTCTGGAGACAGGGCTGTGAGAGATGCTTGACTTGAGACGCTCCCTGCCAAGGAGTAATGCTGAATGCAATCGTCTTCAGGCAATCTTGAAATGCCTTCTAACCATTCTGCCACTGAGGAGAAGAAGCTTTTAGCCAGGGATGAATTAAAAATTTGAATCAACTCCATGTGAGGTCAAGACACCGAGGGACTGAAAGGTGTTCTTAATTGCCCAAATCACAAATGCAAAGAACTGGAACTGGTCAGTTATGAACACATACTTGACCTTTCTGCCACTGAAACCCAAAAGCTTCATATAACTAGTACGTGCAAAGCAGTACCGATGATTTGGAAAGCATAAAAACAGGAAGGTAACTAATGCTAGAATCAAAGTTCCATTGCCCACTCACAGGAAGACAACACTGAAGCAGGTGGCTGACAGCCCAGAGAGTTAATGCACGTGGTGAAGGATCCCCTCTGCTGAGAACAGGGAAATCACACAACCAACTGGAAAGGGAGCTCTTTTTCTGCTGCTCTGAGGGGAGCTCTTAGGCAGGCTGGTGAGGAACTGGCAGGTGCAGGAGGATTTGTGCTGGGATACTCCAGCATCAGAACTTTTGGAATTATAAAGGACGTTTTGTAATTCAGCATCGCTGGCAGAGCTGGGAGTGCTGCAGCTTAAGGACTGACCAGGAGTTAAGAAATACTTAAGGTGCAGGAGAGCGTGACTGGATTACATTCATTACACACCAGGAGGAAAAAATCCCAATCAATTATCTCTATACCTCTGAAGTCACCAAACTGAAAGCTGTTATGGATTGAATCATCTGTGAGAAGCAACTGAAATAGGATGAAATGTGGTTAAGAACTGTTTAGAGATTTTTTTATTTGATGTCTAAAAATCCAAAAATTCACAGCAAGGATGGAAAAGTGTATAACTTCAACAAATGCAAGCTGAGATCATAGAGGAAGTCAGACAAAAAAACATCAGTGAAACTGTAACAGATGGAAAGCAGGCGACTGTGAAAATTGCTGGTATATGTTAGCAGCTAGAAGGAGCCAATGAGAAGGAGAGAGCCTAAATGACACTAGTAGGAAGTTCTGAGGAACTGAGCGATGGGAACTGATGAAAATGACAGATATCCTGGCAAGGGCACCTTACTGCACAGAGACAGGAGAGCTATCAGTGATGATGCAGAGAAGATGAAGCCGAGCACAGGGCTGGCAAGAGAAACTTCAGGTCCTGCCTTTTGCCCCAGGATGGTTTCTGGGTTTTATGTAACAGCTTTTTAATGTTCTGCATCTAAGAAGTGCTCCCAGCTCCATGTTGGCTTTTCCCCAGGTCGTGTGCTGACTGCTGAGCTGCAAAGCTGTGCCTCCTCAAAGGTCTGCTCTGTCCATCTCTTCTGTCCTGTGAGCCACTGACCTCCACATCAATGGCAGCTGAACATTAATGTGATGAACAATGCTTTACTTCCAGACAGCCTGCCGCATGGCTTGGGAGGTAGGGAAAGGGTGAGCTGGGTTTGCAATCCTGCACTGGGGAGGAGCCATCCCTCCCACTTGCCTTGCCATTAAATTTGCTGGGCCAGAAAAGATAGATGCTGATGCCTCTTGTATCTATGCTTTAAAACAGAGAACTAACAAATCTGGCTGTTGCACATTGGGCATGATTCAAAATGGGGTTAGGCTGCAGTCAAGTTTCCAGCTGCTCAAGCTAGCTTACATGCAAGGATACAGCACAAGAGCAAAGGGAGAGAAGGGGTGAGCAACTGAGGTTTCAGAACTAAGCAGAGTCTGATCAGTCCTGGCTGAAGTCAGGCTGCAACTCTGAACACTGTATCAAGGTTGCACTACTGTATTATTTTATATTATTTACTGGTGGTCTTCATCAGCTTCATCAGCATAGCACACAGTTATAGGAATGTATATACATACATATTTGCAGGCAGGTGTAGCTTCAGAAAAGCATGAACGTACACATACAACAAGCATATAAATATACTCAAAATCATTCCAGGTTCTTTTATGTTCAATAAAGAAAGCATACAAAAGCACTATTCAAGTAAATGAACTCTTTAGTGTGCAATAGAAGCAGGAACTGGGGAAACTAAAATCCACATGGAAAAGCACAAAGTAATCACACTGATTATCAAGCCAGGGAAGCCAGCTCAACCCCTTAAATACATATGACTGGCACTAAGTTGGTAGTAGTAGCAGAAATAGAGAAGATGCAGGTTTGGCGAAAGGGAGAGTGAACGCAGAAGGCTGCTCTTTGGAGGCACTCCAGCCCAATCAGCAGTCCTAGGGTTAGTGTCATTTTCTATTTTAAGCATAGAGAGAAACTCACAAGAGAGAGAATAATCAGATGAAAGTGTAAGCCCTCCGGACAAAAATACAAGATAAAGATATAAATCTGGTCATGCTGTCCTACTGAGGCAAAGCTGTCACAGGCAAATCTTTTTTCTTCCAGTTTCAATTGGTCTAAGTGGAGCGGCATAACTAAAGAATTACCATGGAGAAGAAACTATTTCCAATCTGCAAAAACTACAATTCAATAGAGAGGGCTAACTCAATATCTGCCTTAACTCCAAAATCTTCTTACGGCACTGTTTCTCCCATGGAAGAGAGTGAGGTCTGTGTGCCTGAGAGCACAACACCATGGCTGTATCTGAGGGCATGGCTACCAATGCTAAATAATCCTCTCTTTATAGCATGGCTACGTTAAGATCCCTCAGAGAAGTTTAGCTCATTGTTTCAGTGATTATTTTCTGTGTATGTACCAGCGGTCTCTGCTTTAGGACCTCCTTGGGAGCTCCCAAATCCAGGAGTTGTCCTCTCACTGGATACCTGCAGCAGTGATTGCTGTTTGCTCTGACTCGCTCAGAAGACCTGCCCACGCAAATAGTGCATAAGATAATAAAAAATTCAGTAAGCTTTCAGAAAGAGAACATTATTCATCTGCTCAGAAACATCTGGACATTTCAGGAGTCCTGCTATATTTATGGAGTCTACTCAATAAATAGAAGTTTTTACTCGAGGGTAACTAAGCCATTCTGGGGGCTTTGCCAGGCATCTTCTCTCTATTTTGTCTATGTACTGTATGAATAATGCATCTTCTCTGAGCACACACTAGCAGCATTAGCTCCTTGTTTCCTTCTGTATATTTTTAGGAGTTCTCACTAACTGCTCCCAGTTACAAGGGGCCAATGTCAGTGTGGTGGCTGCAGACCCAGCAGCCCTGGAAGGGACCCTGGGCCTCAGACTGCCAAAATCACAGACCGTCTTAGAGGAGAGCAGTGGAGCCCAATCTCCTGTAAGAGGGTCAGTGGAAACATCTGTCAGGATCTCATGTGTCCTTATGAACACTTCCCTGCAGGAAAAGAGAAGTTGTTTTTTTCTTAAAAAAAAAAAAAAAAAAAAAAGGAAGGAAAAGGAAAAAGGAGAAAAGGAAAAGAAAGGTAGTTCTAATCTTTGAAAGTTATTCTAACTTCTTTTTCTAAGTAATTTTCATCAAGAATTTGCATATAAAAAAGTGAAAATGTCGTAGCTTTCATCCCCCTTCTTTTCTCCAGCCCTTTCATACCCAGTCTCATTTTAAGTCCTTGGCTGCCTTAGCCAGACCCAGGATATTTTGATTTTGTCTTTTCTTTGAGAGTAATGCCATTGTGAAGTTATTTCTTGAACTATCTTTTCTCCAATTATGTTCTTCATCATATCTTCATGCAGGAAAACTAATAGCAAATCCATTGGTTTTAAGAAGTGCTCAGAATTGGCTTCACTTTATTAACTTTGGTAGGAATAAAGATGTTTAAAGTGCTTTGCTTCTGAAAAATCTCCCTCTACCTTATATACAGTATAAATGACCCAAGCCTTACTCTCCTTTCTTACAAAAGCAGTCCTTGAAAAGAGTAAAGCAGCTTGGATTTCACAAAGAAGGAATTTTCTTATCATTTTTATTACAATAATGAGACACAGGATACAAGCAGGTTAATGTATTTTTGTTGTTTGTATTTAGGGACAAAATCATAGACAGTCATATATCATCATACTGACTTTTCTTTGCTGGAGATACCATCTAAATCTCATAATGATTAAAAGAATATAAATTCATGGTCTTAACCATTATCAATGTGATTTGCATATCACACTTCAGCCCATGTTTATCTTTCTTGCCTTTAATATTTACTTCAAGTAGAGACAGTAGGTAATTAGTCTCATATAACTTCTCTGTCTGAGCAGATTCAATTATAATTGACCCAAAATACTGAATTCAGCTTTGAGAAAAATTATTTTTAAAGCAAAACTACGATACAGCTTTTAAGAACCAGTTGCTCTGATTTTTTTGCTCATCCCAAATGATGCACTCCCAGTGGTACGAAGCTTGGAGAGTCTCACACAGAAAGCAAGGTCAAGGCATCAAGCATCACATCATTCTGGCATTAGCTTATGCCCTGCTCTGTGCAGTTATGGACAGGATTTGTTTCCTGAGTCCTGATCCGGACTAAGGGATGATTTTTCTAAGGTGCCAAGTGTTTGGTCAGTCACATCTCTGAGCTAGAGAACACAGACGTGTGAAACAGGAAAGCTGTCTGATTTTTCAGTTAGGATTGCGGGTAGTGAAGTAGTGGTAGACCTAATGAATCCCTTTACTGCAGCAGGAATGATTTCATTGTGACAAGATGAGATTGGAATGGTTACAGGGAAGCAGGAGTCCAGAGGCATCAGGAGACCTTTCAGCAGGGCAGCACAGAGCCACCAGGTTCTTGCACTAGCTGAGCTCAGGCTTTCTGCTAGCAGGTGGCAGATCTGTACAGTTCACCTTACTGCTGCCCATTTGTGTTGCTGTCCCTCACCTATTGTCTTGCTCCATGCTGGATCCAGTAAGTTTTTCCTTTTTGATAGGTGAGACTTGTGCTGGATGACAGCATGCCTCTCTACAGACACAAAACAGAGGTCACGTTACAGTTAGCAAGGAGCTGATTTGAAAGAAAAAGACTAAAATGAAGCAAAGGAGACCCCCCTCCTGATGTAGATGGCATGATGGTTTTATACCTGAAAGAATTCAGACACACAAAATTTGGTTTGGGTATCATGCTGTTCTGTTAGCTTCCAGGAAGCCTTGCAGTAAGTCAACAGTGAAGGGGCTGACTGTCCTTGAACCTGCAAGTTGGTGTGACTGCTCACCACCCCTGGGGGGGGGCATGCTGCACTTCTGATTGCAACTACCTTAAAAATTGGGACATCTGCAAAAATGTGATAATTTTCTCTTTTCAGGAGGAAAGAGAGGAAAAACAAAGGTGAAAAAGAGGATGGCTGGTATTTACCTGAGCCCTGTGTTCATGACTCAATTCCTACTCTGTGCACATTGCTCTCTAACAGGTAGAGCTGTTAGAAAGTAAGAAAAATCTGCTACAATCAAAATGAAGTCTACTTAGATTCTCTTTCCTATTTGAATGAATATTTATGCTTATTTTTTGCAGTGAAGGAAATAGAATTCTAATGCTTTCATATGCAGTGGATATATCCTTTTCTCTTCTGGATGGATAGACAAATAGGTAGATGTTTATGAACAGTTCTTTGTCACATGGGATTGTATAAATTCCCCTCTGGGAAGTGAAAAAGCTGCAGTGAAGATTGATAGCAATTCCCTGGGAGAGGTAAGCTCTGACTTCTACCAAACTCCTGTTCCCAGTTCTCTCCCATGGAGGCTGCTGACATCCAAGCTCTTGCTGCTAGGATCACACAGTCTTTGAGGGACTGCCTTCTCATGGTTGGAAATCTGTGGACACATGGAAACACTGTGCTAGCTCAAAGTCACTGCGACTCTTGTGTTGTGTGCTGCACATCAGTTGTATTCATGTTGTGTGTGTTCCTGTGGCAAACATTTTTATGAAACGATGTTTTCATCACAGAAGCTAAAAGTAGGATGACTTTCTCCATTGCAGTGCAAGTATTTTCTTTATAAACTTGTTTATTACTTATCTCTGGGTTTAAAAGAAAAAGAGAGGGGGAGAGAGAAACAGATACTAGTTTTCTGCTGCCCATACAACACCATTCTGTTTCCTTGCTTGATTTGTGTTGGTTTTATTTCATCTTGTAAGGCTGGAGGTTTTTTTTTGCTCAGTTGTAGGTTATTCTGGTGAGGGGGAGATGAAGGTGCACTAATTCATCTGTGCTTCTGTAGAAGAAATAAGAGGGAAGGGACTGTAACAAACTCAAACCAGAACACATCCTTATAGTGTAACCATTAGAATATAAGTGGCCTGAAGTTAAAGAGAGTTTACACAGCCAATTGTCCACTTAGGAAAGTGTATATAATGTCAGTCTGAATGAGAATAAAGTCATGCTAGGTGGGGAATCAGTGGGAGAATTAAACGTATTCTCAGAGATGTTATGACTGAGTGGGTCATAAAGTTTCAGAAGTTCAATTTCGCTGTTAAGACCAATAGAAAGATGTCATCAAAAGCAAAGGGACTTATAACTGGCCTGCCTGTTCCAGAAGATAAGGATAAGCTTATTTCATAAACATTTGCCCTAGGAAGAAGGTGCAGTGGAGTAAAGTCCTGGGATGATAAGGGACCGCAGATTTTATGCATGCCAGTCATCAAAATTGAAAATAGTTTTTGGGTCTTGTTGTTCCAAAAAGAATTTGATGCTCATAAATGCGAGGGTTATCAGGGTTTTTTGAAAAATCCTTCCGTACCCAACAGGGGATTTATTTTCCTACTCATAACACAGACACAAAGATAGCACAGGAGTAATAGTCCTGAGAAATTACTTTGTGGGCAAGTAAATAAGAAGAGCCTTTCTAGATTTTGCTATGAGCTGGACAGAGGTACTTTTGGAGGAGTGGTAGGAAGATGAACCTCTGCAGCTGGGTGAAAGGTTTCTGTCAGAAGCAAAACAGACAAAAACCTAACATTACTTATCAAGGCACCCCTCACCTCCTGCCTCTCAGCTGCACGGGGGCCAGGCACCCTGGGCCAAGGGAACTGAACTGTGAGACCCCACAGGATGCCCTGCTCTTGCCATCCCTCAGCCCTGACCATAAAGATGGTAATTTTGCTGTGAGAGAAGAACTGGGAAAATCTTTATGACAATTGTGATTGAAAACAGTAACTCTGATCTAAAGCTATGAATTGATAATTCCGATCCAAAATCACCCTTATCTGTTGTTTCAATGGCAGTGCTTTCATCCACATTTTAGGTTTTTATTCTCCAATTCTAGCCGTGCTGTTCTCAGGTTGATATTTGGCATGGTTCTAAATCAAATGAGTCTCTCTAAGCAAACAGGAATTTTGTTCCATCCATTGCATTACTAACACTTTCCAGGATGGCATGGCCTGCCAATATTACCACTGATCAGAAAAAGCCCAGTAACAGCACTGAGCTCCAGCACCGTGTCACTGCTCTGCTGCTGGGCAGGTTTTGGAAGAAGCATACATGCACATATGAAATGCCTTATGTGCAGGCCAGTGAGGAGTGCAGATTAATCTTTAGAATACTACAACCTGAGATAAATTCATCTCTTTGTACCTTATATCTAACAGAATCAAAGAAGTAACTGGCATCTTTTCTTTAAACTTCTTTTTCCAGAAAAGTCCAAGACATTTTTTTTTTCCACTGAGTCTTTGAATTTTTTTTGAACCTTGCAAAAAATACAATTAAGGCTTGAGACAAGAGCACATTTGAAATGATTTCACCTGAATTCTGTAGTAGGCATTTTTATGTAACAGTAGTAAGAGTACATTTTCTTGAGAACTGTTCAATTTCCCTCTCCAGAACTGATCCAGAGTTCATTGAATCACAAAGAAAGAATCCCATCCACGTCAGTGGAGTTTGCATCAATCCTGAAATGTCAACAGATGACCACTAAGTTACAGGTACATCAGTAATGCTGCATTTACTTTTCTTCTAAAAATATATTGGAGGTTTTCCTGTGCCCTGCATGTGGCTGAGTTTGAACACTTGTCAAGGACATAAGTAATGGGGGAAGGTTCAAGGTTTTCCTCCTCCCAAAGGGCTGTGACAAGAGTGTGGGTGCCAGAGTAGCTTGTACCTGGAACAAAGCTCTTGTGGCACTGGTGGCCTCACTTCTGTCTGAATAGCCTAATCCTGTGAGATAATGGCAAAATAACTGGGAAGGAATGGGTTGGCATGTGTTTGTTTCTGTGGATTCTTTAGTAGACATACATACATAACAGAGTAGGAACTTTCAGTATATCTTCTCTACAATATTCACTTTTGTTGTTCTCCTTCTGTTTACAATGTGTCATACTTGGAAGTATTCCTTCTAAAGCTCAGGTTTTTACCGTGCCTCTTGGAAGGAGGAATATGGAAGAGTTCACTGTGTTTCATATCTGGATGGTTCACTGACCTACATTTATTTCATCTACTTCCCATTTAACATTTTATGTGACTTTTCTGGTGTGCCACAGCAAAGATTTTCAATGGTCCAAAAAACCATGCTGGGAAAGAGTTCTAATACTATGCTGCCCTTGATAGGATAGTGACTGGCAGTATATAAATACACTCAGTGGAACGACAGAAAACTCTCTTCTATATTTATGAGGAGCCCTGGGCCAACACACACAGTGGTGAGAGCCCATCTGCTCCATTGCAATCATTTTATTGACACGCTGCTATTTAACAGCTGAGGCTTTTGCAATTTTTTTTTTTTTTAAACTCAGTGCATGTAGTGAGCAGGAGGTCTTTTAATAGCAATATGACAAAGCCAAAATAAATCTAAAAGGTGAATTATAAATTTAAAAGTCTGGTTATTTATCCGAAGAAGCACGTGAAAGATGGAAGAAATTTAAGTATTTCTTGACCTGGGGTTCCTATACAACTCTGATGTGGGCCACATGCTCATATCGAGGCCTTTCTTGCAACGAGCACAGCAAGCACCAGCAAAGAGAATAGAGGGGATCTGAGCAATTTGTGATCTGGGGGGCTTGTGGGTCTCCCTAAGGCATGGGGAGGAGTTTGGTCACATGTAGTGCAGATCTGTTTCCTACTACTGGATGGGAAGATAGGCATTGTTGGTGCATTTCAGATTATTTCTCGTAGTTTTATTTCATTCTTAAAAGAATAAAGTTATTCCATACTGCTGAGGAGGTACATTTTCCATTTGGCTTTGTTTCACAATACACTGTTTCTTTTTAAAATTTTTTTTAATATTTGCTCACATAAACATTTCTCCTCATTTCTAGAAGTGTGACTGTTTAAGCTGATGTTCATAACTGGCCACCAATGAACCTATTTCCACCAGAAATGTCAAGGCCTGAATTCAGAAAAACCCACCTTGCACCTATATTTGAAATTCAGTTCAAACGTCAGAGCTTGTTTCTGTTTAACACTTCACCTAATGTCTGTGCCTGCAAAAATGCAGATTTACCTCTCATTTTCAAACCCAACTTTTCATATTTCATTGCTCCATATGCTTTTGCCTACCAGCACCTCCATGCAGAACTGACATGAGTCAGACTTAATTTTAAGCGTATGTCTAAGTCTACTGGTATCTGTTAAAGAATTTTAAGTTTAGACCCATTAATCTCCATTATTAAAAATCATGTTGGCATTACATCAGGCATAAGTGTTTTAGACTCTGTCCAGCTGTGTACGAGTCTGGAAGTGTATTTTATGCAGAGTACCAAGATGGGTTGATAGCAGAAATGAAAGCTTTCATCCTCTCCATAAAGGGAGTAGTATCTCCCTCCAAATTTTATGAATTCAATCTGAAAAAAGGAGTCATAAACACGCTGTTAAAAGACTGCCATTTTAAAAGGCTGTTTCCCCAGAGACAGTCTGTGAAGCATCTTGATGTGAATTCATAATGTCTGAGCAGTCTCAGCTGAATTAAAGACCGAAAAGAGGACAAGAGCAGCAAAATATGATTTCAGAATTCAAGTTAGCTAAACGAGGCAATTCAAAGCTTAAGAGGCAGTTCATATTCTTAACTTTTGCCATAGAAACTTTCAAAAATGAAAAGGCTGAACTCCCTCAATCTTTCTTCATAAGAGAAGTGCTCCAGCCCTCTGATCATCTTAGTGGACTCTTCCAGACCTTCTCCAACAGCTCCACATCCCTCCTGTACTGATCCCTTCAGAGATGATCCTTAAGCTTGTGAATTTTACTAGTTCTTTTCAAGAGAGCATTATTTCTTTCATGGTCACATCCAAGCACTATGTAAATACACGATGTGATTAATGGCTCTTAAGAACCAAAGGAAGGGGTTAGATAATGCTTTTAATCACTGTCAAACTTCATAGTTTTCCCACTTATTTTTCCTGTCTCCTATGAAGCGTCTTCACTGCAAAACCTAATAAAAGCTGCCGCTTCATGTTAGATGAACTTGTGCTGTATTTCAGATGATACTTGTAATACCTTTAACCCACCCTCCTCCTTGCACCTGCTGAAAACTGAGCACTTCTGTGATTCTTTGTAAAAATGTGAGAAACTGAGTTCTGGCAATTTCTGTTCCTTGACCAGAAGAACAAAGTCAGTAATGGCCTGATAAAAAAAATGAAGGTTTTTTTACTTCTACTTTATAGCAGTTTCTGCATCCTGTAGCAGTGGATTCTCCTTTGGCTTGAATTTTCACTCACTCACTCACATGTGGGAATCACGTCAAGATGGAGTTTAGGTTTTGTAAAATCTGAAAATGCAAGAAAATGTGAATAGTCACAGAGCTGCATTTTTGCAAAAATCCACAGCCCTGAAATGAGCCTCTCATCTCTGGACATCAGTGAGAAGATTTTGAAGAACATCCTCAGAATATTCAGAGAATGTTCTGAAGATCCCGTCTGAGTCAACTGTCATCTTATAGTTGTCTTAACTTTAGCCCTGGTAAGGCTCTTGTGAATGAGCTTTTCTAGGGAGAAGTATGTTTGTTGATATGCATAACAGGGAGCATACGCTTGAGTGTCTTTCAACTGCTGCCAAAAAAAAAAAAAAAAAAGAAAAGAAAAAAGTGGAAATGAGGAACGCAAATCATAATTCTGATGAAGTTTTTGGCTTCCTGCCAGACATGGTACGTACTGCATAAATAAGGACAACAAACAGAGGCGAATGCAGCGGCCACTGTGAGTGTTCAGTCTGCCTCTGTGGTCACAAACTGGGGAAGAGGAAGAGTACTGCCTGGCTAATGATTGCCTCAGGCATCCTGGTATCCCCACATCACTGCCTGCTCCTGGCCTGGTGGCATCAGTGTATTCACCACTCATGGCAGATTATTTACCTTTTTTTTTTTAATACTTCTTGAAAAGGTCTTTCTTTTGCCTTTGTTCTTTAAAGAATTGATAGCTTGACCAAAAAAAAAAAAAAAGAAAGAAAATTCAGGATCCAGCTCATTCATATATTCATATTTGCTTGCAAATAAAACAAGCACTACCCAAGCAGAACAGAGATTTATTTTCAAGCATGTGAGCAATTTAAGGTCATTTACTTAAAATTACATTCTAGAAACAATGGTGATGCTTGTGCATTACTCTCACTGTCCTTTTTTTAATGCCACTCTGTATTTAATCCGTCTTACTGCTCAATAGAAATAGCTTACTCCTACATTTGAGTAACTGATTGGGTGTGAGCCTGCATCTCAAACACCATCCTGTCACTAGCAATGAATGCCATTTTTAGATCTTTCATTCCAAAGAAAGGTCAGTCACTATTTTAAACAATAGAAGGAAAAAAACAGTCAGTGCAATGTTCACTTTCTCCAGCTTTTAAAGAGAAAAAAATAATTATTTTGCTAAGGTAATTTCTAATATTTTGTATAGATTTAATTCAATTAGGAAAAAGATTTTATTCTCAAGGTGTTTCTGTACATTTCTGATAATGTCACAGTTGTCCTGTGGAAGGACATCAGATAAGACTTAAAGTTGGTTGAAATCTTCTGAATTCTTTGTGGTATTTTTCAAACAGAAAAATTGTCTTCAGAAAATAATATTAAAGAAACATCAGACTATTAATTCAAGGCTACCAAATATAGTCAGCTTTGACTTTACAGGATTTGTCTAGTTTATGGGGAAATGGTCTCAAACGTCTATTATATTTAATTATAAACGTCAAGTCTCTTGTAAAAGTGCTTCCACAATATCTGGACCACTATTTTTGGTTCCTTACCTCCAAGAAGCCAATGGAGACTAACCCTTCAACCTAGCTATATGCCCGAAGTTGGGTTACATGAACCACCCATTGGCTATTGGTGGAAATTCACCATGGCAGATGTACTTCAAAGGTGATGATCACAAAAATAACAGAAGTTATCTTCATTGAGAAGACACAAGGTGAGCTTGTATGGCTACTGATAACAAAATGTAAGTATGAATTACTGTCAAAGGTGCTTTGCAGAGATTTTTGAGTGAAAGAATCATCATATAATCATGGATTCCTTAGAGTTGGAAGGGACCTTTAAAAGTCATCTAGTCCAACTCCCCTGCAATGAACAGGGACATCCACAGCCCTATCGGGTTGCTCAGGGCCTGGTCCAGCCTGACCTTGAGCATCTCTAGGGACAGGGCTTCTGCAGCATGTCTAGGCAACCTGTTCCACCACCTGACCACCCTCAGTGTAAGAGACTTTTTCCTTATATCCAATAAAGTTACAAGGATGAGAGGAGGATTCAGAGAAAAAGCTCTGCCATTATGGTTAGGGCTAAGATCATCCAGACATGAGTAATGTTAGTCAACAATCAGCTTATTATTTGTTGTATAAAACATTCTGCATGAGAAATAAGAATAAAAGAAATACAGCTGTGTTTTTCGTGGTGGCATACACTTTTTGTTACCCAGTGCTCAAAAAGTACTTCTTATAAACCTGAAGACAGAGGATGAAAAATTCCATTTTGAGTAACTTGGAAATCATATGTCAATCTTAGGCCAAAAAAGTGGGAAAATAAAAGGTAGAGACCGATTGGTCTGAAGATACAAATGAGCTGATTATCTTTTTGCTTTATGAAAATATATGTATTATGTTGTTATTACTTGCTTGGGTCTTGAAACACAGTGAATGTCCCTAGAACTCCTTTGATGGCAACTGCTGTGAAGGAAACATCTCTGTCATATCTTTAACCTAGGTGAGGTAAGTCAGCATCAAAACAGTTCCTTTGGGCAAGCTGTATGTTGCTTGAAAATACAGCCTGGATAAATTTTATGAACAAACCTTATTTTGTCTTTGAATTCAATACAGCAGCTGAGGACATCTCTATGGGGAAACATCAGCTCTGCAGGACAGAGAACAACCTCCATTGGGAAAATAGCTTTCCTCATTGCTTCAGTGTTTCATCAGTTGTTAATTAGATGCTTTCCTCTCTTCAGTTCTTAAACAGAGCTCAGCTAGCGCAGATGCAAGTTCCTCATGAGCACTGTTCAACAGCATTACTCCTGAGGATGAAAAGAGGATTGTTGCAGGGAAATTCTGTGCATTTGGGAGAACACTTAAGCTCTGGTTAAAATCTAGCTTTTCTTAAGTATTTCCCCTCTCTTTTTCCTACAATCACATTTATCCTTTTCCTTATAATTTTCAAACCCTTTTTAATTTTTTCTTATTTTTTAGATCTAAATAAACAGCCTCTCAACATAATAGATACTTTAGCATATATTGAGATGTGATTCTTGCTTTATTTGAAATACAATTTAGCAGATAAATAGTGCTGAACACCTGTATGACAACTGTTGAGTCATGGCCTGAAGCACCGATTGAGCACCTGGGGAAGGGACCCAGGCAGCCCTGGGAGCACAGGTGAAGGCAATTCAGCTGTGTGACCAGAAGGGGTGGAGCCTGGCTGCACCTCTCTTAGACCTCATTTGAGGGCTGACTGGCACTGGGGAAGGATCTCTGGTTTCGTGAAGTTTCCTTTGTGAATCTACACCTTCAGAGACAGGGGAGCACTTTTCCTTTGTAGTACCTTTCTGTAGAGCTAGTTCCCTTGTTGTTACATCTCCTGTATTGCCATTCCATCATGCTGATTTTTCTGACTGTTGCAACTGGAAAAAAAATAGAGCTCAGACAGGATCAACTTCAGCGTAAAACTGCCTTTTCTCTGGAGCTCAGGTCAGCAGGTCACACATGGGTGTATAAGAGTCGCAGTGCTCTCTCCATCCCAAAAAACCTCTGCTGGCCAATTTGGCCAGTGACTATCATAAATTGTAGTCAAACCATTTCATTTTGAAAAGCCTGATTACCATGATTCCTTTCTATTACTACAGCAGTATCAAAAGGCTTTATTGTAAATGAGATTTAAAAAAAAAAAAAAAACAACAACCCAACACCAAAACATGATAGTAAAAACATGAAAAAGAGTACAGTCATATCCTCACTGATAGCATGCTCCCACAGACTACTGCCATCAGTTAAGAGTATGTGCCAATATTTTTTATGAACAATCATTACAAAACATAACTTAAGCAGGCTGGAAGAAAACAGCAACCTAGAAGTGGTGTTCAAGAAAGCTGTGGGAAAGGGGAAAAAAACAAAAACAAAAAACCAAAAACTGGAGAGCTGCTGAGCTGAATCAGCACACGGGCTGCAGTTGGAACAGAAGGATTCTTCAGTTTATGCCAGAAGTACTCATCAGTGCTTCTGGTTTTTGAGCTTAACTTTCATAGGTGACTTTTCTTGTCTCTGAACCATCTTGTGGGAATCCACATGGGTTCAGCTATGGGTGACTGTCAACTTGGGAGACAAGTTTGTTCCTCAGTAAGCAGGGCAAAGTTGTGCTCTCTGAGTTTCTGTCTTGCTCTGGAACCTCCCTGGAGGAATGCCTCTTTGCAGCTGAAATGGTACAGCAGTTTTTCTTTCTCCTTCCTCTACGTTCTCAGTGCTCAGAAAGTCCAGACATGCCTCAAAGTCAGCTCAGCAAGTTAGGCACCTACTGTACTTCCCAGCTATATAGGGGTAGCTTCTGCCTAGGCTGGATATCACTACATTGTGTTTTAGGTGACACAACACAGCTGTGTTTTAGGTGACTTACTACACAACAAAATATCACTGAAATGAGAAAAAAAAAAGAAAATATCACAATTGAACAGAAGAATATTTTTCTTGTAACCCAATAAAGCTGTAGGACTCATTATCACAAGGAGCCGCTAGGCCCAGATATTTAGCAGTCTTCAGAAAGAATCAGGCGTTTGTGTCTCTAGAAAGGAAAAAATGAAGTTCTCCAATTGAAAAAATGCAGAGATCATTTTATGTTTCAGATTTAAGGAAGCATTTAGGAATTAGAGCCTAGAAAGAGGTTAGCTGTGGAGGAGGCAAACATGGAATCTGCCTACTCTGGTAACTTCAGAAAGATCATCAACCAGGAAGCTGAAGAATTTAGGTTATTCAAATCATGACAGTCCCTTTGCAAGCTTTATTTTTCATCCAGTATAGGATCTCATACCATCATAGGATCTCATACCATCATAGGATCTCATACCACTTCCAACCCCTATGGTTCTGTGATCATAGAATGGTCTGGGTTGAAAAGGACCACAATGCTCATCTTGTTTCAACTCCCCTGCTATGTGCAGGGTCACCAACCAGCAGACCAGGCTGCCCAGAGTCACATCCAGCCTGGCCTTGAATGCCTGCAGGGATGGAGCATCCAGCCTCCTTGGGTAATCTGTTCCAGTGTGACACCACCCTCTGTGTGAGAAACTTCCTACTACCTGGTACCACATCCAGTAGAGAAGTTCATGGAAAATAAGCAAATGAAGGCAAACAGGAACAAAGTGCAGGAGGTCTATATGCTAGTCTAATAGTTCTCCTGGCTTTGGCTACTCATTTCAGATGGAAAAGAGCACCTGCTAATCTTCTGTTGCTTTATGGTAATGACCTGGACAATATTTTTGTGATTGTCAATGTAATGCACAGCCAAATCCCTTTATGCCTTCAGTCAGCATCAAGTCATTGATGTAAATCAAACTTCCATGCAGAACCACAGCCATCCACTGGCACTGCTTGATGATTGTAAACAACAGTAGGTTTCCTTGAGAAGCTCACTCTGTAGAAATGATCCTGCTCTTAACTATTATATAGGTGATTCCATTCCAAGTTTGTGCTTTTCTTAGCAGATGTAAGAACACCTTGTTTATAAAGCTCCAGCTAAGTGGTTGCTTTTTTTCAGCACTTCAAACAGTACCACCAATAACAACCTTTTACAACCTGGATATGTTTGAAATCTTGCTAATCCTAAAGCAAATAGATCTAAAGAACCAGCAAACTGAACCATGTGAAAAATACAGTATGTGAGCTTGCAAAAAGCAAGATGACCTTTTATTCTTCAGCTTGAAAATGAGTTTTTGTATCTGAGGAAAGTACTACTAATAAATCAACAATTTTAGCCTTAAAATATATTTGCTTAAAAAAGAAAAAAAGAAACCAGATTATTAAAGTAACACAGTTCCCTTGAAGCAGGAATGGTCTTTTGTTATTAAAAAGGCATTTACATAAAAAGTTTCCACATGTAGGGGCATTTAATTAACTTGGGAGTAAAAACCATAAAAATTAATATATCCCATACAGAAAAGTTGACAGAAAATTTGTCCTTTGCTCCACGGTTTTACTGATTATGGGTTGGTAGCAAATTAGAGTTAGATTGGTTCAGTTGGAAGGGTCCTTTGGAGATCATCAAGTCCAACTGCCTGACGAAAAGAGTTACTCTGTAAGATATCATTAATGCAGTCACAGCTTAAAAGAAACCATCCCTAAAGGAAGATGCCAGAATGCATTCTTCGTGTAGTAACAAAGGAAGCCAGAAGACCCCCTTACAATGAGTCAAGTCTGCAATAAAGACGAGCCTGACATTTCATAAGCTTTTAGGTAAATATGCTGTAAATATTACAGATTCAATTTCTAACACTTGTAAAGGCTCCAAAACCATTCATCATCACTAAATGAATGTATTAAATTCGGTATGACACGAAGTTGCAAGTATAAATGGGGAAAGCATCTACCTGTAAATTCTTTTAATCCATCCGCTGCCCAGGCAGTGACATACTTTTCCATCTTAATTAATAGTCAGTACACTGTAAAAAGCCTCAAGGAAGTTTTTTTCCTAATCAAAGCATATAAAGTTAATCCATGTGTCACTGTACTACTGTAAACTGGTAATCTTTTCAGAAGAAAACGTGGAAAGAGTCTGAAAAAAAGAGTTTAGCACTTCTCTCCCTCTCACAAATGTTGTTTTTTAAAGTCAGTCCCACTTCTAAAGGCAGAGGAGAGTAGCACATCTCTCAGAAATAGCCGTCAGATTTACACAAATGCTGCCAGGCTCTCCTTTTATTCACTGCAGCGCTTTCCAAGCCTAATCAATTCACAAAGGTTGTAATGAAGTGATTACAGAAATAATAGACAGTGGTGGAAAAGAGGCCTGTGAGAGCCATGGAGAGAATGACTGTCTATCTTCCTCACCACAAAGGAACTCAGCCTCTGCTCTGCCTGGGCTCATGGGGATTCAAGAACCAGTCTGGGACGCAAGCTTACATTAGCGTGTGTATATCATACTCTGTCAGGTTTTGAAACTGCAGCATCATGATTTATATGCAAGGTTGTTTAGGTCATAATTAAGATTTCTAATGTGTACTTGTAGTCATTTATTTTCCTCCTGCTGCTCGGATCCGTTGAGCTGGACTCAAAGCATTAAGAACATGATTTTTATCATCAAGCAACAGGAAAAGTCATCGATAGAATCATTTGATCCTCATTTATTCTTTAAAAATACAAGGAATTCTGCAGTGATAGGACAGGCTCCTACTGAGAGAAGTTAAATATGATACATATTTGTTAAGTACTCCCTTGAAATAAAATATGATTTCTTTTCCCTCTTAATTTATAAAAATTTAAAATGGCTAACTTCCTAACTTGTTTTGTCTGCTGAACCATTGAAAGTGATTAGAGCATAAATATATATGACATCCACGTTATTACCAAATACATTCATTATTAGCAGTGCTATCACAGTGAATACCAGATGGAATTAACAGTGACAGAGCAATAAATTAAAGTGTTCATACATTTCTTTCTCACAGCTTACAAACTCAGGATTTATTCCTGACCTTTGGTGTGAAATCTGACAATTGCTGGTAAATCATCCATAATACTGTTAGTATTCAGTGCTGCAACTCAGACCTTTTTACCTTGCAGATGTAACAGATAATTTTCTAAGAATTTATTTGTGGATTAACACTAATTATCATGCACACTTCACAAAGAATTAATGTTAATAAGCTTATCTCCATTCAGGATACCTTCCAGTTTATTCTTGCCATCTCTGTGATGATGTGTTTACATAAAATAGGATCACAGCACGGCTGAGGCTGGAGGCAGGTCAGCATCCCTCTGACCCAGCAGAGCCTTGCAGAGCAGGGCCCAGCCCCACAGACAGGTGGCTTTGGGAGAGCTCTAAGGAGGAGACCCACAGCCTCTGGGCAGCCTGTGCCAGGGCTCGAGCACAGCACAGCACAGCAGTGCTGCCTGATGGGCAGAGGGAACTGCTGTGCTCCGGGTTGTGCCCACTGCCTCTGCTCCTGGCACTGGGCAGCGCTGCAAGGAGCCTGGCTGTGTCCTCTTTGCACCTCCCTGTGGTATTTATGGACATGGATGAGATCCCTCTGAGCCTTCTCCAGGCTCAGAGGGGATCTCTGAGAGATGTTCTGCTTCTGTCAGCCTCTCCACATGGCAGAGGTGCTCTAATCCCTTCATCGTCTTTATGGCCCTCCATTGGACTCTCTTCCTCCTGTACAGGGGGACCCAGCAGTGTTGAGCAGAGGGGAAGGACCACCTCTCTCTACTTGCTGGCAGTACTTTGCCTATTGCAGCCCAGAATACTGTTAGCCTTCTTTGAAGCAGCCTGGTGTCCATCAGGACTCTCAAGTACTTTCCATTCAAGTGTCCCTCCCAGCTTGTGCTAATGCTTTGGGTAGTTCCTTCCCAGGTACAGTTCTTTGCAACTCTTTTTCCTGTACTTCAGGAGGTTCTTTACAAAGCCCTGTCTCCATTCTGTCACCATCCCTCTGGATGGCAGCATAACCCTCAGGTCTGTCAGTCTCCCCTCCCAGTTGTGTGTATCTGAGTTGTCTGCTCAGAAACTCACCACGTTCTCCTTCTATAGGCAGTTGTAGCAAGGATCTCCTCTGGGCTTTGGGTCCACAAGCAGGCTTTTTTGACTTGGAGACACCTGAAGGAGAGGTTTAGAGGTGAGGTAGGAACTTGTTTCCAGCTTTTATACGTTTTGTGCATTTTATCTGGTAGAGGAAAAGAAGTTGTGCACACCAGTCAGGTTGCAGACTTGTTCCATTTCATTTTGTTAGCTGAACTTTCTCTCTCTGACTCAGTAAGGAATTATTTTTTTAAAAGACAGCAGTTCCAGCCTTTTTTCTGATAGAAAATCCTCAAGTACAGGTGTTAACCTCTATTTAACAGTTTTGATACTCTGAAAATAGGCTTCCTTCACTTCATTACCTGTCATATACCTTGGAAGTCCATATAGACCTTGGGGATGAAAAGCAGTGTGTGAGCTGATTAAGGTTTCCAGTTTTTGGACACAAAAATACAAATATTGGCTAATTATAAAACTATGAGAGCATTAGTGAAACACATAGATGTGGGAGTCATTTCATGTCAGATATACACTAAAGAGAAGGGAGACTTGGATTTTTTTTTTTCTTTTTTTGGGTCATATTTGGCCAATTTAACAGTTCCATAGGAAAAACAAGGATGCAAAACTGTAATGATGCTGTGACATTTACTCCTGTATAAGAGTGAACTGTCTGCAGAAAAATACCCAGGTAAGAATAAAAATCCTGACCCTGAATTATGTACATATGCCTTGCACTCTTCCTTGCATATAAGCCTAACATTGCCACCATCTATGTGCAAAATACTGTGCATAGAAGCACCATGAGGCATCAGCAACACCCTCAGCAGTAGCTGTAGGCTGCTTGTATGGAAGAGGGAGGATCCAGCTCACTCATCTCAGTCATTAAGCAGTTAGACCTCGAGAAAGGGGGCTGTTCATGGACATTTTTTTTTTGCCTACATTCTTGTCTTTGAATTTATTGTAGTAAGACTAATCATAAATCTTTCTCTTTGATCCTAAAGGTCTGCAAAAAGTCTAGCCTACGTCCATCGTGATCATGGAAGGAGACAACTGACGGTTGGTAGGGAGCTTTATTCTTATTTATGTATTCTAGCATTATTAAAGACTCACACCTCAAGCAAGGCATTTCCAGAAGGGGGGACATACGCAATGGGAGAGAGAGAGGGGAAGGGAATGCACAGTGAAACTCAGGAGCTTAAACCTCACCTGCTGCAGAGGTGAGCTCTTCATCCTGACAAGTGAAGAGCCTGACAACATGGCTTCTGGTGCTGCCATTAAGGCTCAAGCCGAGCAGCAACAGAAGGTCACCCCAAAGCTCACCTCTCATACAGAGCTCTGCCTCAAACAGCTGCAGGTAGAGAGGCAGGGATGTGTGGGCTGTGGGAGACATTTCTCCTCCTTTCTCTTTCTTCTCCTTGCATGTTTTTGTTCTTGTGCTTTCCCACTGTGCTGAATGGAAATCAGATCTCAATCGTGCCCAGGAAACTCATTCAAATGGTAAACCCCCAGCAGCAGCGTGCGTGGGCAGCATGTAGGCTGCCTGATTTGCCTGCCTCTGTGCAATGCTGTTTGTCCTCTGCCTCCCTCGCCTGTTCAGGCATTTGGACTCTATTTAATAGCAGGACTAAAACACTGTGCTGTGTGGGCCAATACTGGCTGAAGGAATAACAACGGCACGCAGCAGCACAAGGAAAACTAAGCACTGGTGTGCTGCCTGGGAAAAACAGGAGGCCTGTGGGCCTCCAGACATGGAAGTTTCCAGCTCCTATGGACTGGAGCAGGCACAGATAGCGCTGGGACCTGTGAAGACAGTGAGGTTTTAGAGCTCCATAACATGCAGTTCCCTGGAGCCTTGCTTTCTCCCCCCAAAACACAAGCTATAACAGAACCTGTCCGTTAAACAGAAGGGTTCTGTTCAACAAATGAAAACCGTGAATTTTACCATTAGTTAGCCAATGTTTATTTCTCTTTACATAAATAGTTATAACAGCTTAGACCAGTCGTGCCCACCCAAAAGCCTGCAGGCCACATGCAGCAGCCTGCCCTCCCCAGGGCACGGTCACACTTCTCTACCAGGCATTCATAAGCCTTCTCTTACCAGAGAGAAACAGCCTTCACTTCACAAACACACCTTATTCATGTCGTTGCTTTTTGGCAGCGTGCACCTTTGTGAACAACTGTTTACAAGGACGAAGTACAGGAAGAATACTTTCATCAAAAATGAATGAAATTCTCCTGTATCTGAGTGCTTCAGACAGCATCCCTTACCTGGTGTATCAGTATTTTCCTTCCTGGTGAGAAAAGGGGATGTGCTGTACAGCTATCAGGGGTATAAAAAATGGTAAAGCAGGCAGAACACCATTTGCCACTCGGATTTTAAATACTTATCCACATGGCAAAGACTGCTGGCTACTGAGGGTTAATTCGATTCAAAACTGTGCTCCTACCTATTATCTCACAGATTGCGTAGGGTTCAGCTCAAATTTTAAGTACTGTTCTCATTCAGGTTTTCCTTTTTTCTTAGCTAGCTGGCTTAGGAATAAAACATTTTCAGAGACCCTGAACAGGAACCCACCTGAGTTTTAATTGCTTCTCCATTGGGACAGTGGAAACAGCTGGAAGGTGATCTGCAGAAGTCTCTCGGAAATACTTAATAGTTTTATTTGCCAAGGCCATTCCAAACTTACTCAGGTGATTTTGCACTGATGTTTTTCTTATCTCTCTTGGCTTCGAATGAAATGCCAGCTCATGAGCTACAATTATAGCCTTTCCCTTCAGATTTCATCCCCCCCCAAAAAAAGTTTTGATCTAGAAAATTCCAGTACTCCATAGGAAATTTCTCACAGAAAAGCTTTCTGTGAGAGCTACAAACACTTGGGATGCCTCTCTGGCACAGTGCCTGCAGCAGGGAACTGCTGCAGCTCTCAGCAGCATTTCCAGGGCTCGCAGAGCAGCTGCAACGGTCCCTCCTGTATTTTGTGTTGCAGAATCGAGCCTGATGATGGCAGAGTCGCTTAGCTCCAGGCTGGCTTACTGCAAAGCCTCACTTAAAGATCTGGTTACAGACGAATTGATAGCACTGATACCATTTGAGCCCCCCTCTCCTTTACATCAGAGACTTTCTAATCCACATCAGTATTAAATACACTGAAAAAGAGAGGGAGGAAAAAAAAAAAGGCGAGTGAAAATTAAAAAAAATCCTTCACTTCAATGTCATTTCAGTCAACCAAGGTTACATCAGGGCTAGATGCTGGTTGCAGCTCAGCTCAAGGGAGCAAAGGTCTCTGAGGGCTGATTGCAAACAGCTCTGGCTGCTCTAATCCCTGCGGGCTGCTAATAAAAGGCAAAACTGCTTCTGGGGGCACTTCCAGTGCTGGGACAGAAAAACAGTGCTTTTTCCTCTGTAGCCTTCACATTCTCAGTGCAGAGAGCTTTGAGAGCTTTCTCCTGTCCCATGTCTCTCCCAGGGGGAGGTTTGTGGGATTTTTGTTTTTCTCAGTGAGAGGATTGAAATAACATAAATCTATCTATCGAATAGAAATGTTGGTACAAAAAGATGATACCATATTTTTAAAAGGAGTTGAAGGTAAGGAACTGCTGGGGATCTTCCTGCTGACATGAAGGGCATTGAGAGCTGGTCCTAAAGCAGGGGCACAATAAGCACCAGTCAATTATAGACATCCTGCTCACTGGCTTGCTATGCTTCCTTTTAGTTAAATCTCACTGCAATTTTGCCTTGTTCTCCAAAGGCTGACTTTTTAGTTATTGTTATTATTTTGCATTGTTTCAAGTTTAATTTTCCTGTTAAATGACAGCCTTTTGCAGGGCCCAGATGAAGAGGGTCACAGCATTTCACATAATTCTTTCACAAATTTGCAACCACTTGAACAGAAGAGGCAGCTGTTGCCACTGAGATAAATCTCACTGAAATGCCACTGCAGTCCTCTGCCTGCACAGAAGCCTATTTAGCTCTGTACAGGGAGCTCATGAAAAGCTTTGTATGTACTAACAGCATTGCTAAGTGCTACAGAGAAAACAGGAGATTTACCACTAACTTCCTTATCATGTCCATTTTCCAAATATCAGAAGTAAATTACTCAGCAGAACAAATATCCTGTAATGAAAGGTGATAATCAGAAATCTCATGAGAATAAGGAAGGTCTTACAGAGCTGATCACAGAACTGATATGTGACATGTGGCTCAAGGGGGAGAAAAAAAAAAAAAAGGGAAAGAGAAAGAGGAAAGGGAAAGAGGCATAAATGAGAATGGAATAACATGAATTTCTGCATTTCTGCTAGCCACAATGCATGACAACTAAAGCATCCAAGTTGCACAAACCTCTTCTGACTCCAGAGGGAGTAGATATGTTGGGGGCAATTTTAATGTCAGTGAGAAAACCCCTGCAGGTTTTTAGGGTCTCCCCTCTCCAGAGAGAAGAAAGGGGCAGCAAGGTAGGTTGAAAATACTCTTGCAAGTGTCTGGTCCTGCTGTGAAGGAGCACTGCCAGGGCAATCCAGATGCAGATAGCAATGAGTGTGTCAGCTGGCAGCCAAGCAGATTTAGCCAGTTACTGGAATCCCTATTTGGATGCTGGATTTTCTGCCTCTGTCTTGTGTGCTGCATGGCCAAGACACATCAGGTCACCCCTGAGCTGCAGGTAGCAGGGAAAGCAGAGAAGGAGGAGAGGCTTTGCCAGCCAGGCAGTCTGGCTGGAGGTTGGTCTGCTTTTGGCAGCTCTTCAGTGCGCTTTCTAGGTGAACTGAACACAGCTAAACATCAAAGCAGCTTTAGGAGTGAAGCTTCCAATTCTGTTCTGATGGTGTCTTGCATCCAGTTCAAGGTGAGCATTTTGGATCAGTATGTTCCATATAGAAATCCTAGAGGGTACATGGATTGGCGCCTACATCAAAGACTTGCAGAAGCCAGTGCTGATTTCGGGTGCTTACAGGTTTAGCTTGATGATGAAAGAGGATGAGGAAAAAGGAAGGATTCTAAGACAGATGTTTGAGCTGCAGAATCATACCTTTGCTGGCAACGGGCTTCACTCTTCTTGCCAAGGTCAATGGTATCAGTTGCC